GTTTTGAGTGGGGGGGAGCGCCCCTCAAGCCATTCTGCAGTTCCCAGACTTTGGTTCCTGGTTTGCTGACGAGAAGCAAAAATTGAAAATGAAGAAAACCCAACCAACCAAGGGCCACGTGTCGCGGGGGTGTCGCCGCAGGCGCCTCCGCCTCAGTTTTTTTATTTTTTAAAGGCGCTTTTTTACATTCCTTGCAATACTGGTGGAGAGAGCGCAGGTCTCATTGGTCATTGTTTTGCCGTTGCCATACAGTGCCTTTCCATTCATTTACCCCCACCTGGACGGCGTGACCTGGGTGTTCAGCTGGCGTTTTTTACTGTAACAACAAAAGGAGACTTTGCTCTTCATTTAAACCAAATCATATTTCATATTTTACGCTCGAGGGTTTTTACGAGTTCCTTTTTACACTCTTAAAAACAGTTTTTAAGTCGTTTGAAACGAGAGATTTTTTTCTTTCCTGGCAGCTTTTAACATTATTGCAATTTGTGTCTGGGGGCTGCTGGCGGGACGTTGTAAATCAAGAGGTTTGCAACGGGACAGGCCGGGCTTTGTTTTTGTTTTTGGATTTGAAACTGGATGGGATGATGATCTCTGAGCTGCTGTATATAGTTTTAAAATAGTTTGTTGCACTTTTTTAAGTTGCACTTACGGGGGGTTGATAGAGGTTTTTAATCACACAAAGTCACAGGACTTAAACCTTTTCTTTTTGTAACAAGCTAAAAAAGGGCTGCGTTTCGGTGGACGATTAAGGTTCCTGGGAGCCCTTTCTCTTAGAGGGGACAAGTAATTTTCCATTCCTTCCCGAGATGTTTGGAGTAACAGTGCAGTCGACTGAAATGCTGCTGCTGGGATTTGAGACCTTTAATTATGCCGATTATTATTTTTTTTGTTACTTCCCCCTCTATCGGAAGCTGTGTGCCAAAGAACCAGTGTCATAATTTCTCCCTCTTTATTATGATGATTTTTTTTTTCTTTCCTGCTGAGCTGATGTTGCATTGTTGCATATCCCAGCTGCTCTTTGTGGGGTTTTGTGAAGCTGTTTGTGAAGTCTCTACCTCATTGTAGTATATGCAGGCAAGACTGCACTCTCCTACAGACGCGTGGAGTAAGCTGTGGTGTAGTTTTTGGCACATAATAAACACGTTGCAGCAAAAAAAAAAGCCCTTTCTTGTGCTCTCTACTGCGGGGGGGGTGGTGTGTCTCTAAACTTGGGAGGGCTTGTGGTGTCTCTTCCAGGCGTAGGGGAGGGGTATGGATGGAGTTATGGATACTGTACTGTGGGTGACTTGGTGGGAGGGAGCTCTCTCTACTGGGAGGTGCGTTTTTAGATCCCACTTACCAGAGGTGTTCGTGGGACCCCTGAGCTCTAGCTGGAGCTCCTCTAATTGCAGCAGCAAGTTAATGAGGTTAATCAGAAGAGATTGTGTGCTCCCGCCCTCGGTGGTGCAGGGGTGACACCCTGCAGGGCTATGTGGTGAGAGAGGGACCCCAGGCGTCCTTTCTGCAGGGGGAAGGAGGGCTGAGTGGGACTTTGGGTGCAGTGAGGGATGCCCACAGTCGGCACCCGAGGGTGCCCCATGTCCTTGGAGGGTTTGCGGGGCGGGGTAAGGTATTGGGCTCCTTTCTTGTGCCCCCTTCCAATTCTGCAGCCACCCGGGTGTGGTCACCCCTCCTTTGGGGCTGTGTGATGCGAGTTTGTGGGTGCTCTATGTCTTTCATCGCACCCTATCCTGGGATGTTTTGGTGCCCCAGAACGGCCTCCTGGGCGGCTCCATCCGCCTGGGACACGAGCGGTGCTGGGCAGTCCGGGGGCGCCCGGGCCGAGCGGTCGGGCGGCGCTGGGACCCTGCGGAGCCCCTGGGTCTGAGCCGCGCCCGCCCAGCCATAGCCACCCCGTACCACGCCCACGGCGCCCCTGTGGACACCCTCCGAGCCGCCAGGGGGCGCGTGTGTGCTGTGCGCTTCCGGCGCCTCCCGCCACCTCCGGTCTCTTTGCGCGGCCGCCGCCGACATGGTGGGTCCGGGCCCGCCATCCGTCGCCATCCGCCCGCCGGGCTGCGGTGGGACGGCGGCGGGGACCGCGCGGGGAGGGGGAGCGGGGCGAGAGGGCCTGCGGGGGGGCGGGCGGTGGATGGCCGTGGGAGGGGGCGCTGGGTGGGGAGGCGCTGGGCCCGGGCTCGGCGGGGCCTGACCAGTGCCGGCCCGCGCAGGGACGCGTCCGGACGAAGACGGTGAAGAAGGCGGCGCGGGTGATCATCGAGAAGTACTACACGCGCCTGGGGAACGACTTCCACACCAACAAGCGCGTGTGCGAGGAGATCGCCATCATCCCCAGCAAGAAGCTGCGCAACAAGATCGCGGGGTGAGGAACGGGGGCGTTCTGGGTGGGGTTTGGGCACTGAGGGTGTCCCGGGGGGTTCGGGCACGGGAAGGTTCCAGGTGGGGTTTGGGCAGTAAGGGGTGTCCCAGGGGGAGGTTAGGGCCAGGCCCTGCATTCGAAACTGATCACGGTCCCGCCCGTGGCCGGGTCAGCGATAGTGCAGGGAGAGGAGCGCGAGAGCTTTCCCGTGTTTGGGGGGGTCCCTGTCCCCCCCCAAACCCTGTTGCTGTCGGACAGTTCGTCTCTGATGTCCCCCGGAGGTGGCGGTACATCGCCGGGGTGGGCGGGGACAGCTCCATCTCCTCATCCCGCCGCGGTTGGGGGTGTGAAGAAGGGTGGCGGGAGCCCCGGGGAAGCCCTGGACACCCCCGTGTCCCCGCAGGTATGTCACCCACCTGATGAAGCGAATCCAGAGGGGACCCGTCCGCGGCATCTCCATCAAACTGCAGGAGGAGGAGAGGGAGAGAAGGGACAACTACGTCCCCGAGGTGAGGCTCTGCCGTTGCTCCCTCCTGCCTCGGCACATCTCCATCAATAGGTCCAGATTCCTTTAAAAAAACCCTCAGCTCAGGGAGGGTTTGGATCAAGGGGGTTGAGGTGGAGCCCTCCAAACCTACTGCTTCGGGTGGGAAAGGCAGCTGGTTTCTTGCATTTTGGTTTTCCTAACTTTAAAAAGGGGGGAAAAAAACCAACTTGTTGAGAGGCAGGAGGGTATTTCAGAGCAGCTGGAAACCTGCCCTCCAGGCAGTGTTGCTGGAGAGGAGGAATTGGTGGCACCCCTTCCCCTTAGCCCTGTGCTCCAAAGATCCCAACTATCACCTGGGCGAGGCGCTCCAAGAGCATTCTCTGTGTTCTAGGGGCTTGATCCCGTTGCTCCCAAATCCGGTGGCCTTCAGGCACAGTGCATTTTATCCCTCTCCCAGATCTCCCTGGTGGGCTCCTGGCAGAGCTGCTGGTTTCTGTGCTGCACAAACCGCGGTGGTGCCAGGGTGTGGTTACCTTTGTATCCAAAGGTTGTAGGGAAGGGACTCCAAGCAGGGAAGGAGCATCCCTGCTGCGGCTGTTGGCACAGTATCAGCTGAACTTGCACTGTTTCTTAGAAAAATCCCGGTGTGATGTAGCTCTTGGGGAAGGAAACCCATGGCGATGGAGGTTTGGGGTCCAGAGAGGGCTGGAGGAAGTTTCTCTGGGATTAAAGAGCAGGAGAGTGTAGGTGTGGAGGTGGGACACACTGTGGGCTACTACTGGTCATGGCCAGAACCAGTGCAGTTGCAGGCCCAACCCCAGCTCCTCAGCAGCCTTGGCCTGGAGCATACTGGGCCTTGGTTTTCCAGGGATTTGCCGGGGGACAGGCTCTTCTGTCATACTGTGGCCTCTCACCATGTTCTGTCAAGAGAGCTGGGCTCCATTGGGGTCCTCTTGGCTCTGCTGCTTGAGCCCTTCCCCAGAGTGGGCAGAGAGATCCTTTCTGTGGTGGGATGGGACCGGAGTGGCTGTGGGGACACCCAGGGGGTAGTGGGGCTTTATCAAACCACATCCCTGTCTCCCCTCCGTCCCCAGGTCTCTGCCCTTGACCAGGAGATCATTGAAGTGGACCCAGACACCAAGGAAATGCTGAAGCTCCTGGTGAGTGGCCTCAGTTATCCCCTGCATGGTTGGTGGCATGTCCTTGGCACTGCTCCCACTCGTGTTGGCTAAAGGCTCCATCACTGGACACATGGTGGGGGTCCCTCTACCCTGGGTCCTGTGGACAGGTTAATTCCTATGTGGCTTTTGGGAGGGGAGGGAGAGACATGGTGGCTTTGCCATGGGCAGGGTGGGTGTGCTCCTTGCCCTCCCCTCCAAGGATTCCCTCACCATTGTACTGATCTCCGGAGTGGGGTGATCTCCCCCTCTTTAGGAGACTTGAATTCCCCCATGGTGCTGCCACAGCACCTTCTCGCTCCCCACCCTCAGTGGTCACTGGGCAGGGTCCTGTTGCTGATCCTGCTGTTCCCATATTGTTTTCCAGGACTTTGGCAGCCTGTCCAACCTGCAGGTGACACAGCCCACAGTAGGGATGAACTTCAAGACGCCCCGAGGAGCGCTCTGAGTCCATCCCTGTGTGTCGCTTTTCCAATAAACGTGAGGAAACCACCTCAGCCTGCCTGGTCTTTGGACACCTGTGTCCCTGGGGATGAGGGAGGGTGGGTTCTCAGGTGCAGAGGACTCAGCACCTTCCTGTTTGCAGCATCTTCTTGAGTTCTTTTCTGGCTGCTTGGGGTGTGAGGATCAAAATGGTATTTTAGAGGCTCTCCTGCTTTTGGGGCCATGGGAGAGAATGACCGTGGTGGCTCCTTGGAGCTTGTGGGAACATGTGCTTCCCTGAACAGGCAGCCCAGGGTCAGGCTGTGCCAGAATTAAAGCTGCTTTTTATAACCCCACTGGTCACTTTTAAGTGCTTAAATGGAAGGGAAAAGTCTTACAATTACTTGATAAAATAAAAGCAAGGAGACCTCGATGTGTCCTTCCAAGGAAAACTGTTCACAGCCATAGCTTAAACCCCCCTCCTGGTAGGAATAAAACGACAAAAGATTTGTGTTTTGGAGAGAAATGTCTGTATTTGTGTTTGTTGTGAAATTTAGGTAGTTACTTGAAATATTTGCGGTAAATTTAACAAGTGTTTGAATACACATTGAACATGTTGAGCTGCAGTCGGATAATTTATAAATCCTCTCTGGCAGCTCTTAAATAGGGAAGTTTTTGCTGCTCCAGCCACTTATGCATTACAATTTCCTCTTCATTTTGGTCTTCCTCTCACAGTAAATGCTAATTTTGGTTTGAACCCAGTAGGCTGTGTAGCCTGACGTGCCGGGGATGAAGTCGTGGAGCTCCCCTTCATATTTCTTCATGTCCCGGGAGGAGGTGTAGCCTGTGCAGGGAAAACAGGCTCACTGGGGTCCCTGCTCCCCCCCTCCATCCACAGGCTTTTCCAGGTGTATTTACCTGTCACCATGTTATTCATTGGGTATTTCTGGAGGGCACGGTATGGAAATTCCCCCTGGGAAGGTGCTTCAGAGCCTGTTTCTTCGCTGCTGTATCAGGGTGGGGGCAAAAAACATTCTGTGTGTTAGTTCCTGTGCACTGGGATCGCTTGGAATTTGGGGGGGGGGTGTCCAAAATCCACCATCCAGGGTGGGAAAATACCTCTTATCCAGGTCTAGCGCTTCCCCCTCAGGTTCTTCCTCACAGCCATTTCTTACCGCCTCCGCTTCCTCTGTTGGATTTCCGTTGGGCTGTGAAAATCAGCACAGGGTTGAGTTAAAATGGTGCCCTTGGTCCCCCCCCAGAGCACCTGGGAAATGCTCCAGGAATGGAATTGTTAGGGCTTGTGATTTCAGGTGTAATTTAGAGATTAATTTTAGGTCTAAGCACATTTTCGCTTCAAAAGTGCTGGGAAGTTGCTTTGAAAGGAGAGGGGGCACAAATGAGAGGGGAAAATGCTGCAGCAAAGGGTTGAGCTCTGCCTGTGGCAATCAGTGTCCCCGGAATGGTGAGTTGGCATCTGTCTGAGCAAGGTTTTCCTTGGCCCTCCTTTTGTTATAACTGAGTTTTCGCCTCTAATGTTCTTTCTGCCTGATCTAATCTAACTACTTCCTTAAACACTTTCTGAGTGTTCCTTTTTCCCAAGATGACACACCCTCCTTTTTTTCCCCTAAGTTCCTGTGAAAGCTCCCTGCTCAGCCAGGGCCATCTTAAAGAATGTCCAGCTTTCATCAGTCCCTTTGTTTTTAAGGTCAGCTCTCCAAGGGACTTTCCAAGCTGGTGTCCTGAATAGACCAAAGTCAACCCTCTGGAAATCCAGGGTAGAGGTTTTGTTGTTGACTTTATGGAGTATTAAAAACTCCCATAATTTTGTGGTTGCTGTGCCTCCAGCTGTTTATACGAGACTTGATCCTGTGTGTGGGCTGAGGGTCTGGGATGAAAACCAGGCTCCCTGGAGTTGATACAACCCTTATTTTTTTAAGCCACACCTGTAATATGAACTTCTCGTCTTACCTTTTCTTCAAGGACATCCACCTGCTCCCAAATAAAACAGCCGATTTTCCTTCTGATTTCTGCCAAGAACAACAAAACAAATGACTGAGAGCATCAAATAATGGGACTGTGGCCTTGCTGCCTGAGCAAGGCCCTGCAGGTGCCTCCGAGGACAACAAGGCCGAAGTGTAGGGTCCTGCCTCTGGGCGAGGGCAATTCCAAGCACAAATCCAGGCTGGGGGAATGGACTGAGCACAGCCCTGAGGAGAAGGACTTGGGGGTGTTGGTGGAGGAGGAGCTGGATATGCCTCGGCCATGTGAGCTGGCACTGAGAAACCCCCCGTGCCCTGGGCTGATCCCACAGTGTGGGAAGCAGAGGAGGGGGGAGATTCTGCCCCCTCAGGTGAGACCCCACCTGCAATGCTGCTTCCAGCTCTGGGGTCCAACATCAGAAGGACATGGAGCTGCTGGAGTGAGTCCAGATGGGGCCACAGAGATGCTCCAAGGGCTGGAGCCCCTCTGCTCTGGAGCCAGGCTGGGAGAGCTGGGGGTGTTCAGCTGGAGAAGAGAAGGCTCCGGGGAGGCCTGAGAGCCCCTTCCAGTGCCTAAAGAGGCTCCAAGAGAGCTGGAGAGGGACTTGGAACAAGTGCCTGGAGGGACTGGGGAATGGCCTTAAGCTGCTAAAGGGTAGTCTGAGATTAGAAATTCAGCAGAAATTTTTCACTGTGAGAGTGGTGAAGCCCTGGCACAGGTTGCCCAGAGAAGCTATGGCTGTCCCAACCCTGGAAGTGCCTAAAACCATGTTGGACAGGGCTTGGAGCAACCTGGTCTAGTGGAAGGTGTCCCTGCCAGTGGCAGAGGGTGGAATGAGATGAGCTTTAAGGTCCCTTCTAACCCCAAGCCATTCTGTGATTCTATCATAATAGATGGAGCATAAGCTGCCTCCGGGGAGGAAGAGCCACTAGAGCAGAAGTAAATTCCCTCCCTGCAGAGAAGTAACTGATGGTCCTGGTTTGCAAGAAGGCTGAGCTCATGGGGAAATCCCCTGGCGGGAAAACCCAGATGGATTTTTTTTTTCCCCTGACCTTCTTGCAGGCAGGCAGGGGGCAGGACGAAGTGGCCCAGAACCACCGAAGGCTTCTCCGTGGCGCCAGCACGCTCACATGCAGAGAGGTAACAGGAGTGAAAGACTGTGGCTCTGCCCTCCAAGTATCTGAGGCTCTCGTGTATGCTGGAAGAGAAAAAGAGAGCTGGTTTCCAAAGGTGAACCTGGAAACAAACCAAAACCAGAAAGTTTAGAGGGATGCTGTCATTAAAACCAGCCTGCTCTGATATTTTTGCCAAAAGCAATTTTCTGTGATTTTCTATCTATGGGATTCCAGCTGCCAGCAGCCTGAAGGAAGGAGACCATGGACTGGGTAAGCATATTTGTAGGGATTAAGTGGCCCCACTCTGCTCCTGAGGTGAAACTCCTTTAGGGAGGGCAAAACCATGACTTTCCTTTATTTATTCTTCTCCCCGCTGGTCCCTGCTCACACAGCTGAGCGAAGAATGGTGGGTGGAGGGTGCTCAAGTCCTCACCGTCCTCCTTAGAGGGGAACTAAATCTTGTTTGCTGGGTTTAACGGTATGGATAATGATTACATTTTCCCCAAGAAATTATCTAAGTACATAGATTGAATATGTATTTTATACATATTTACACAATATATAGTTATATATAATTCCCCTGGGGGAACAGTGCAGTCAGGCAGGAAGTGTGGCAGAAGGAATGTTGTTATTCCGGGTTTCTCAGGATTCCCCTCTTGCACAGCTCGAGCAGGTGGCTGAAGGATTCCAGAAATCTAAGCCAGTTCTAAGCATTGGTGTATTAAAAAGAAGCTGCTTAATCCAGCCTAGCAAAGCCTGCTGGAAGCATCGCAGCACCTTTTACCATAAATATATTTACATGACAGTAAATAATATTCACTTATATTGAGGAAGTGAGAAGTCTTTCCCTACATTTGTACAAATGTTCTGGAACTCTCTAATCTTTTATATTAAGCATTTCTGCCCTTTCCCAGCCATTTTTACCCCATGGTTCCTTTCAGAGTTAACTCACACCAGCTTTTTACCTCTGGGTTCCTTCCTTGGGGGTGGTGTCACCTCTGTTTTAGACCCTGTTTTTCCAGCAGATAATTCACAGGCAGTGAGAAACAAGTACAATTAGTGTCATTTATATCAGAGTTAAGCCCAGCTCAACACATGGATGGTTTTTTTCTGTTCTGTCTGCTTACAGTGTAGCATGGATGTGAGTTTCCCGACTCCACCAGGCAGTAAAACCCCGGCAGATCTGTACCAAGACTTTAAAAACACCCCACTGACTTTTATAGGATGTCAGTATCCAGGAAATACTTCCCACTAAATACATTAAAGCCACAGACAAATGCTTCCATCACCCACCTGCGTGTGTCGGGGTGGGTGGCATCGCTGCTGAAGAGGTACTCGGCATCCAGCCAGTCGGTCAGTGCCCCTCCGCCGGCCACTGTGGGGGGACAGGGGGTGAGGGGAGGGTGGGCATCCCAGAGGGTTCCCACTTCGGGATGACCTGTAATGGGGATGTCTGGTTGTGGGGCCGCAGGGATGGGGCCTGTAGTGGGAGCTGTGGTGGCCCTGCCATGGCTGTGGGACTCCCACTGCCCCACTGAGGGTTCAGGGCTTTTCCTCAGTGTGGGAGCACCATGGGCTGCGCTGGTACAGGTGGAGCTGACCAAACCCATGCTCTGCCTGCTGTGGGGGGCTCAGACCCACCGAGGGGTGACAGGGCTGTGGCTCCACTGCTGTGCCATTAATGAGGGGTGACGGGGCTGTGTTCCCCTCTCATCCCCACTGAGGCTGCTGAGGCTGTACCCCCACCAAGGGGTGATGAGGTCATCCCCCTCCCCACCCTCATCCCCACTGATGGGTGGCAGAGTTGTGTGCCTACTGCTCTGCCCCACTGAGGGGTGATGAAGCTGTGCCCCCCTCCTCATCCCCATTGAGAGGTGACAAGACTGTACCCCTCCTGCTCTGCCCTGCCGAGGGCTGATGGGGCTGTGCCCTCATCAAGGGGTGACCGGGCTGTGCCCCCCCTCCTCAGTCCCTGAGAGGTGACGGGGCTGTGCCTCCCCACGCTGTTCCGCCCCACTGAGGGGTGACAGGGCAGTGTTCCCCTCTCCATCCCCCCGCTGGCTCCTGCCGGCTCGATGCCGCCGGGAGTCCCTCCGGGGTTTTCCGCCGCCGGTTCCCCTCACCCCAGAGCCCCCGCGGGCCGGGGCTGACGCTCTGCGAGAACCAGGCACGGCGGCCTCGGAACATCGCGGCGGGACAGCCCTGAGGGGAGGCGAGACAGCCCTGAGGGGAGGCGGGAGGAGCCTGAGAGGCGACAGTGGCGGGAAACCCCGGCGGGGGGACGGGGGGAGGAAACGTCATGGAGCTGTGCCAGGGGAAGTTTAGGCTGGATATCAGGGAAAAATTCTTCCCCCAGAGGGTGGTCGGGCACTGAACAGGCTCTCCAGGGCAGCGGTCACGGCCCCAAACCTATCAGATCTCAAGGAGCGTTTGGACAACGCCCTCGGGCACAGGGTGGGATTGTTGGGGCGTCCCGTGCAGGGCCAGGAGCTGGACTCGAGCCCTGTGGATCCTACGTTGTTCTAGAAGTTTTTCTCCCAAAACCACACTTATTTTGTTTACTCAGGAAACAGCTGGCTTGCAGCAGATTTGCTTGCATTTTATAAGGCAAAAACAAGGCTTGTTTCATGCTTCAAACTTCCCAAGATATCTCTCAGGATATCTGGTCTGGCTGGGAACTACCAGTGACATATCTTGGAACCCCAAGGATGCTGGATAAAACAGAGAAGGTGTTTCCAGATACTGAAATCCAGATCAGCCTCTAGGATGGCCATGTGTTGTTCTCCCACAGAGAGGGGATTTTTCAGTAAACCATCAAAACATTTCCTAAGTAAGACCAGAAAAATGCCAGACATGCAATGAGGGCAAAGACTTCCCCAGTGTGGGAAGATGCTAACACATTCTTTGGAGATGGGTTGTCCCACATTGCCTCCACAGTGTCTTCAGCTTCCGCAGTTGATTCCACTTGTCTACCAATTAGGACGAAGATTTCCTGGTGGAGGGGCAACCCAGCCATTACTCTCTAATGCTCTTGAGGATAGTAAAGGTGGAGCCAAGGTGGTGGAAAGCACGTTGGTGGCCCTTTGTGATACAGAAGGAGCCCAGAACGTGCTCTACAGCTCCTTGGGCTCACGCAGCAGACTGAGCTGTTCTGCAGGGGTGTCTGGGGGAGAAGTCCAAAGCTTTTCCTCCTTCCCAGACCATCTTCTCCCACACAAGGACCACTGCTGGGACTGGCACAGTCCCTGGCCAGTCCCCTGTGTGGTGGCTCTGGTAGGTCCTGCTGTCCCATGCTGGGTGACAAGCCCTGTATATGACCACCCAGTTGTGACCACCTCACCTCTCTTGGTTTTGTTTTGAACACTCTGATGAGCCCAAATGGATCACCATAACCAGGCCCTGCATCCCAGCAACCTCCCACTCAGATGCTGGAATGCAGTTATAATGAAAAAAACCTACAGAACAAGATCCCTCAAAAATCTCAAGTGGGTGTTCTGCATCACAGCAAATCTTAATATATCAAGACGAGATGTGCAACCCCCTGTGGCTCCAGGGCCCCTTGTTCACATACACAAGATCCACACTGGTCAGATTCACCTCACTCCAACACTCCTCAAGCAATCACACTGATTTCTTCAGAAAATAAAAGCAGGGTGATGGGAATAGCACCGGTTTTGGGTACTGGCATCAACCCCCCATGATATGACAGATAACTGGCCCTCAATTGCTCTTCTCCGCAGGGTCAGCCACAGAGAACAGAAAAACAGAACTGAAGTTTGCTGATGCACACTTTGCCCAGGCTCAGCTTTACACCCCACACCCCAAGATGCATGATCTGCAGTTCTCCCCCTTGGAGTGGGCACCATTCCCTGCCCCTCACTCCGCGTCCCGCCCCACATCCCCAAGGTTTCTTAAACCCTTTTTTTAAACCTTATTCCTTCCCTTCGGAGCCGCACAGGAGCCTCTAACCAGGCAGATACCACATTAACCAAAAAAATCTTTAATTCTTTTTTTCTATTGATGGAAAAGTGTTTTTACACCTTCTCAGTAGGATAAAAAAGCACAACTGAGCACCAAGGCCACCAGGCTCCAGATTCACTCACAACCCAGTGGCCACTGGAGCCCTTGAAATTAGCTCAGGTTGTCCAATGATTCTGAAAAAAAACATTTAAATGGCTACAATTTTATTAAGATAAAAATCCTGTTCAATTTTGAGCACTTTAGAGCTAAAATTGTTTTTAAGCAGCAATGTAGGCATTTATAGCTACATGTTCAAAAAGCCTCCAGAGCTCCCTTTTTGCTTCATGCAAAAGATATTTTGACAAGCATTATTAAAGAATTCCTTGAAGCAAGATAATCACTCTTGTGGTTATGATGAAGACTGGACACAAGTTTGAGAAGACTTTGATTTGCAAGAAGAATTTTTCAGACCTGCATAGAGAGAGGAGATGGACATCAATCACTCTGGTCACAGCTTCAACTATAATTATTTTAGGAGTCAAAAATGGTTTCCTCAAGAGCACTCTTGACTGCAGCATCTCAGCTGCAGACACAGACCCACCTTCTGGTGAGATAAAACTCCTGCAGAAACTGCTTTTCTGTCCCTTCCTTGGTGGGGTTCAGAGTTCAACAAGTCAAGAGGATCCTTGTTCTCCACCCCAGGCAGCTTATCCTGCTCTCAGCTCCTCCACCCCAGCTCAGTAAATCCTTGTCACCAGACTCCAGTGAAGTTGCCCATGTCCCACCTCCAGCCAAGGCTGGCATCCATCACCATCGGTGACCTCCAGGCTGATGTCCCACCAACCTAAGCCATGATGCCACTTGGGCACAGCACATCTCAGACCCTGCCCTGAGGCCAGGTTCCCCTCCCCGCTGCCCAAAAGCAAGCAACAAACCAGATTGAGTGGCCATATACAACTTTGTAGAGCTCTACAAGAGTAGGGGCATTTCAAGTGAGGTCCTGCCAAGGCTCGTCCTGGGCACAGTTAATCATTATCCAGCCTCTACCAGGGCACTTATCTAAGTCGTTTCAGCCAGCGTGTTACGTCAGCTGAGACACATATCTTCTGTTTTCTTCCGATCAAGGGTTGAATTGGAACTTCCCTGTTGCGAAATCCACATCAGTTACAAGAATATAATCTGAAGAACACGGAACCCTCGAACTCTGAGACACTGGTAATAAATCCAAAACTGCTTCCAGTTTGTGCTTCACAAATGCCACATTGTGCTGCCTGTCTGCCACAGGGTCAACCAGCCTGGTTCCCCAAAGGCATGGGTCTCCAGGCACAGCAACTGCCTCCTCCCCAGAGAGGAAGTGGAACTGTGGGGCCTGAACAAGTATTAGAGGACGTGTGACAACTCTCAATGGTACTTGGCAGACACAGCAAAGACATGGAAGGTTTTCTCCAAGGGTCTCCTTTTTTTAGACTCCTGTAGGCAAGGGATGGCCAAGAACAGGCCAAAATAGTGGGTAGAAGGAGTGTGGGGAGAGTCCCGTGCCCCAAATCAGCAGTACCATCATCTGCTTTTTGGGGATGGTTGCTTCTGTTCCTCAGCTCTGCAAGTTACACACTCTCCCCTGTACGGAAATGGGTCCACATTCCCCTTATCAGCACAGAAAGCAGCATCAGCATAACTCACCATGGATTACCCCAGACACAGCTCAGAAGTCTGGTTCTGCAGGGAAGAAGGGTGGAACGTTAGGCTTTGGGGCAAATGGCACCCCCTCCCGAGTACCCACAAGCCCACCCCTACTGGGTGTAACCAGAGATCTGCCCTCGGCTGGGTCGCCACCACAGTTCCCACCGCTGTGTCCTTTATATTCTGAAGGTAAAGCCCAAATCACTGTGTGACTCATCTAGGTGAGTTCACCGATATTGGACAACACAGCACCACCAAATCCCTGCAGTCAACATCAAGGCACTCCCCCCCTGAATCCCTCATGGATATGTTTAACAGCCTTTACAGCTGAAACCGAGTTAACTTTCCATCTCTAACACAAGACCTTCAAAACCCACCCTGCTATAACACCCTGCTTCCCAGAAAGAAGAAGAGAGACACCATGGATATAAACTAACGAGCTCCAGCACACAAACTGAAGCTGGAGGAAGAAGGCAGGGCAGAGCGTACCCCATCGGTAGATCCTCGGCTCCGGCATGGTGGAATGCTCCACCCTGCAAGCAAAGATGTCACCCCTCGTAGGGGTGAAGGGCACGTAGACCAGGCGCTGGAACTGCCACTTCTCGTTGAAGGACAAGTCCCCATACTGGACGCCGGTCATGGGCTCGCCGTTCTTCAGGAGTTCCACCTTGATCTTGGGTGGGTGAAATCCAGTGATGAAGCAGTGGAGGATGTTCGCCTGTCCCTCCTCGGTGCGTGTACGGGCGTAGACTTCGACCTTCGGCGGCTCTGGAGAGGGGGGCGAGGGCGGTGTGAGAAGCGGGGCTACGCTGGGCATCGCGTTGGTGCACCCACCCACCCCGACACGGTGACCGGACTCCCCGAGACCTGGGCCCCCCAGCCCCTCGCCCTCCCTGCCCCTCGCAGGACCCTTCACGCTGTCGCCGGCACTCACGATCGGCAGCGTCCCCCGGGCCGAGCAGGGCCAGCAGCACCAGAGCCGCGAACCCCAGGACGCTCCGCTCCATTGCAGAGTTTCCCCGCGGCACCGACTGTCCCGCGCTACTCGCGCGCCGCCTTTTATACCCTCGGAAACCCGCGGCCAATCGAAGTGCGGAGCGCCTGTTGCGTCATCAGTCTCCGGGCAGAGAGGGAGAGCCGAGGTTGTGCGAGCCATCTGCGCGCCTGCGCACTGCGGGCAGAGCGGCCTGTGCGCTTTCGCTTTCGTTTCTGCGTTGGGGCGGGAGCCCGGGGGGCGCCGGTCACCAGGGGCTGGACGTGGGCCCGGGGGGGCACTGGCACCTGACTTGTACCTGCCACAGTGTGGCCACAGGCCCAGGGTAGTGATCACCCCCCTGTACTGGGCACTGCTGAGGTCACACCTCCAGTCCTGGGGTCAGTTCTGGGCCCCTCGTGACGAGAAGGACATTGAGGGGCTGGAGCATGTCCAGAGGAGAGAACAGAGCTGCGGAAGGGTCTGGAGCACCACGAGTGGCTGAGGGAGCTGGGGGGGCTCAACCTGGAGAAAAGGAGGCTCAGGGGGGACCTTCTCACTCTCTGCAACTCCCTGACAGCAGGGTGAAGCCAGAGGGAGTCAGGCTCTGCTCCCAGGGAACAAGGGACAGGACAAGAGAAAATGACCTCAAGTTGCACTAGGGGAGGTATAAGTTGAATATGACCAAAAACTTCTTCCCTGAACGGGCTGTCCAGCCCTGGCAGAGGCTGCCTAGGGCAGGGGTGGAGTCCCCATCCCTGGAAAGGTTTAAAAGTTGTGTGGATGTCGCACCTGGGGACATGGGTTAGTGGTGGTTTGGCAGTGCTGGGGGCATGGTTGGACTCGATGGTCTTAGATGGCTTTTCCAACCTAAATGAGGGTAAAACCCACCTCTTGCAGAAAACTTTGCATCCAGGGATCGTATTATGCCAACAGCCTACGCTGGCACAGCTCATCCTCCTTCCTTTCTGAACCTCCCTGGAGGCCTGTGTGGAATGTCTCAGTCCAGCAGCTCTGGGATTAGGGATTTACTGTTGTTTGATGCAGCACAGACTCCCTGACATCAAGCACGAGAACCCCAAGGCCAAAGAACCAGGTTTTCTGATGCCTTGGCTGGGAATGCTGCCGAGCAGTCTGGTAACATTGCTTGGAAAGGGGAAAAAAAGGGAAAAGAAAGGAAAGTCATTACCAGTGGGGAGGAAACAGCAGCATTATAGGGGTCCTCTAACACTGGGCCCTTTAGGATTTGCTTTCTTAATACATCTCAGTAAAACGTAAATTAAACAAATGCAGCACTTATGGAGAACATCCCAAAGGCAGCAGGTAAATCAGGAGAGGACAAGCAAAGGAAAATCCTGAAAACATTTGTTATCAATCCCCACTGGCCCAGGCCCTGCTGGGTCTGTTGGCTGCCCGGTGAGTGGCAAAGCAGCCACGTAGCTGAAAACACTCAGTGTTTTCACTGAGATAAGCAGAGCAGCTTCCGCCAGAACCTTATCAGGGATCTCAGGGCTCCAGCCTGAGATGTCTAAGGGCTGTAATGGTGACAGAGCTGCCATCGAGGTCACTGCATTGGGAGTCACCACCCTGGTCCAGCCTGACCCACAGGCAAGTCTGACCCTGCTCAGATGGGCAATTGCCTTGGCTCAGAGAGGACTGATCGTACAAAGAGCTGAGGGAAGGATGCGGATCCTTTCCCTGCCTTTTGGGATGTGAATCCCTGGCAACGACTCCACTGCAACCAGTGACATTCGTCAGACTTTCCCTGTAAAGAGAAGCTGAACCGCAACTCTTTTCCACATAATGTCTCGAAAAGGCTGCGGTGATTTGGTCAGAGCAGCCAAATCTTCCTCTTTTAGAGCATTTCTGCTTTTACTGGCAGACAGAATTATTTGGGAGTGGGTGACATGATTGAGGTGCTCCCAGCACTTGGGGGAGGGGGGGAAATGAGGGCACTCCGCTGTGCTTGGCAGGACTCAATGATTCACAATGTTAGCGTTGACCCCTGTGCTTTCAAGTCCACATCTGTACATCTCCAGGGTGCTTCCAGCCGGAGAGACCACATCCAACTGGGTTTCCATAACTCCTCAGAGGGGTATCAGCTTGGAGAACACAGTGGCAGGCAGGGAACAACGGGAGCAGTGGGAAAAACCGAGTTGGGATGTTCTGTGCCCCGAGGGCCGCAGGTGGGGTCACTAAACCTCACCCTCCTCATCCTCATCCCTCGGCTTCATCCTCATCCACGCCAGTCGCGGGGGCATGCGCAGGGCTCGGCTGGGGGCCGCCATGCTGTAC